CAGCTGTTCCCTTTGAGATAAATCAATGTGTACTTTTCTTTATATACTTAATATGTCCCAACAAAAAAGATTTTGAAAATCCTTTCCCATAGTCACTGTCATCAACCTGCTCAGTGTCAAAGCTGGACTTAGATCATAATGATCCCCAAAGAAGTTTCAATCCAAGACCGCTTTCAGCAGACATTAGCACATTTGAGTGCTACAGTAGGTTGGGAAAGGGGTCCCATGGAGACCAGGCTCTAGCCTCAGGCAGCTGTCAATGCTAAAAGGGTCTTTGCAGGTGTGATTAATTTGAGGATCTTGAGATGGGGGGATTATTCTGGATTACCTGGGCAGGCCCTGAATGCAATCGCAAGTATCCTTACAAGGTGGAGGCAGAAGGAGCCTTGATCCCATACAGGGAGGAGAAGGTGATGTGAAGGCAGAGGCACACAAAGCCAAAGATTGCACCAGAAGCCAGAGGAGGTGAGGGACTGAGTCTCCCCTAGAGTGTTCAGAGGGGCACAGCCCTGCTAACACCTCCATTTCAGCCCCACAGGACTGATTTCAGACTTGTAGCCTCCAGAACAGCGGGAGAACACATCTGCTGTTTTCAGCCCCCAGCTTGTGGCAGCTAGTTACAGCAGCCACAGGAAGCTCGTATAGCGCGCACCTTCAGGAGAAGCATGTGCGTGTTTTTAGCTGGTGAGCCTGAAGCTCAGGGCTGAGCTCTGCTTCTAGAAGAAAGGAATGAGAGCCCCTGGTGGAGGAAGGGATGTGGTGGGAAAAGGAACCTCTGCAGCCAGGAATCTGATCTACTCCCTGCATCCTGCTCCATCTGTGGATTTTGACTTTTTTGTTTTATTATTATTATTTTTTTAGAGAGAGGGTCTCCATCTGTTACCTAGGCTGGAGCACAGTGGCTCAATAATACTTCACTTCAGCCTTGAACTCCTAGCCTCAAGTGATCTGCCCACCTCAGCCTCTGGAGTAGCTGAGACTACAGCATATACCACTGAGTCAACTCTTTATTTATTTATTTATTTATTTATTTATTTATTTATTTGAGACAGAATCTCGCTCTGTCACCCAGGCTGGAGTGCAGTGGCGCGCTCTTGGCTCACTGCAACCTCCGCCTCTTGGGTTCAAGCGATTCTCATGCCTCAGCCTCCCAAGTAGCTGGGACTACAGGCACTCACCACCATGCCTGGCTGTTTTTTTTTGTATTTTTAATAGAGACAGGGTTTCACCATGTTGGCCAGGCTGGTCTCAAACTCCTGACCTCAAGTGATCCGCCCACCTCGGCCTCCCAAAGTGCTGGGATTATAGGCGTGAGCCACTGCGCCCGGCCTTGAAGATTTTATTCAATCTGTTCTGTATGACTATTTATACATTTGACTGCATAAATAGTAATGTATTTGGCCGTGGGGCATTGGCCCAGACCCTGCTGAGGGTGTTATGTAACACAGAGTACACTTTTCTAAAATCTGACAAATTCTGAACTCTGAAATATTTGAAAAAAACCCTGCTGAGGGTTTTTGTTGAGTGACTGTGGACCTGTAAATGTAACAGGACTTTAAGCAGAAGGTTTGGCTAAGATCCTTAGAGGGACAAATATCAGATGCTGAAGAAAGTTATGAGACAGAGCATCCAGGATCACCTATAAAAAATGGTCGGCTCACTATAATCCCAGCATTTTGGGAGGCCGAGGTGGATGGATCACTTGAGGTTAGGAGTTTGAGACCAGTCTGTCCAGCACGGTGAAACTCCGTCTCTATTAAAAATACAAAAATTACCCAGGCATGGTGGCAGGTGCCTGTAATCCCAGCTGCTTGGGAGGCTGAGGCAGGAGAATCACTTGAACCCTGGTGGCAGAGGTTGCAGTGAGCTGAGATTGCACCACTGCACTCCAGCCTGGGCAACAGAGCAAGACCCTGTCTCAAAAAAAAATTTAAAAAAAACCAAATAAATAAATAAAAAATGAGTCACCTCCTAAAGCCCTTGCTGCGATGGAGTGGGAGTGGGAGAAAGATGGGAAGCCAGCCATTCCCAGAAGAAAGCAGGGCTGGGACCTGAAGTACCTTATGAACCATGTTCAGGAATATGTGCATTATTCTAAGGGAAATGGGGGCCTTTGAGGGTTTTACATGGGGCCATTAGGAGGAGCTGGGCCCCCTGTGGCCAGCTAGAGGAGGAAGAGCTGTACAAATTAACATGCAATCAACCACTGACACCGGGGTCATTCCTGTGCTGATGAAGTGGCTTCAAGGAGCTGGAGATAAACTTCTGAGACAGAAAGAAGCACCTGTGTGAGGCAATATGTGCAGGGACACTTCCATGAGGGATGACATAAATTTTTCTGGATTCAGGCGGGGAGGCCACGTACAGAAAACAGGAAGGCCCCTGTGTCAGCCCTCTGACAGGGACACCTTATCACCTGGGAGACTGCAACACTCCAGGTCATCTTTGGGGGTATTTCTAGAACCGAGGAAGAAGTGAGGCAGAGATGGTTGTTATGAAAGACAGACTAGGGTAAAAATACCAAGAAAACATTCTGAGACTCCTGGAAATCCTGCGACATCCTGGCATCTGTCACCCTTCTCTGATGCATCTGTTTCACAGAGCGACTAGTTAAAGATGGAGCTGGCTGGGGGAGAGGCAGCTGGGGGCTTGTGGGCTGGAGACAGGGAGCTGCCTTCAAAGATAGCACAGTGGGGCCAGGTGTGGTGGCTCATGCCTGTAATCCCAGCACTTTGGGAGGCCGAGGTGGGTGGATCACCTGAGGTCGGGAGTTCCAGACCAGCCTGGCCAACATGGTGAAATCCTGTCTCTACTAAAAATACAAACATTAGCTGAGGGTGGTGGTGGCAGCCTGTAATCCCAGCTACTCGGGAGGCTGAGGCAGGAGAATTGCTTGAACCTGAGAGGCAGAGATTGCAGTGAGTCAAGGTCACGTCACTGCACTCCAGCCTGGGCAACAGAGCAAGACTCCGTCTCAAAAAGAGAGAAGGTAGCACAGAGGGAGGCACCTGAGGTTGGACAGCTTTCCCTTCAGCCCCGAGGAAGAACTGCCTCCATTGTGTCCTGGAGATGCATGACCTTAATAAAAAGGTAGATCTGGTCCACATTCCTGGGGAAACCGCATGTAGCTTAGAACTGCTTCATTCCCAAGTGAGATGCGTGCTATTCCGCCCTTCTCTAGGAGTCACCATTGCTGAGTTTCCTTCTGCCCCTGGAGGGCATGGGCTGCACCTGTCTGTTCACTCTGGCCCTTTGTATGCCATGGCACAGCTCTCCCATCTTTGCTCTACTACGACATAACTGTTTCCTTTTATTATTTATTTATTTATTTTTTTTAAGAGACCAGGTTTTGCTTTCTCACCCAGGCTGGAGTGCAGTAGTATGATCACAGCTCCCTGCAGCCTCAAATTCCTGGGCTCAAGTGATCCCCCCACCCCAACCTCCCAAGTAGCTGGGACTATAGGCCTGTGCCACCACATCTCACTATTTTATTTTGTTTTAGTTTTTGTAGAGATGAGGTCTCACTATGTTGACCAGGATGGTGTCAAGCTATCCTCCTGCCTCAGCTTCCCAAAGTGCTGGGATTACAGGCATGAACCACCACACCTGGCCCAAAGACATTCATCACAGAAATAGAAAAGATTATCCTAAAATTTATATGGAACCATGAAAGACTCAGAATAGCCAAAGATATCCTGAGCAAAAAGAACCAACCTCGAGGAATCACGTTGCCTGACTTCAAATTATACTATAGAACTATAGTAACCAAAACAGTGTGGTACTAATAAAAACAGACACATAGACCAATGGAACAGAATACGGAATCCAGAAATAAATCCATACATCTACAATAAAGTCACTTTCAACAAAGGTGCTAAGAACACATGTTGGAGAAAGGACAGTTTCTTCAATAGATGGTGCTGGGAAAACTGGATATCCATATGGAGTGCAATGGTATAATCTCAGCTCACTGCAACCTCTGCCTGCTGGGCTCAAGCAAACCTCCCTCCTCAGCCTCCTGAGTAGCTGGGACTGCAGGTGCACACCACCACATTCAGCTAATTTTTTTTATTTTTTGTAGAGACGAGGTTTTGCCATGTTGCTCAGGCTGGTCTCAATCTCCTAGGCTCAAGCAATTTACCTGCCTCACCCTCCAAAGTGCTGGGATTACAGGCATGAGCCACCGCGCCCCACCTAGTTTATGTATTTTAATGTAAATTATTGGTAAACACTTATAAATTGACTCTTCTTTTTTCTTTTTAAAAATCCACTTGTGGCCGGGAGCGGTGGCTCACGCCTGTAATCCCAGCACTTTGGGAGGCCAAGGTGGGGGGATCACAAGGTCAGGAGATCGAGACCATCCTGGCTAACATGGTGAAACCCCATCTCTACTAAAAATACAAAAAAATTAGCCAGGCGTGGTGGCAGGCGCCTGTAGTCCCAGCTACTCGGGAGGCTGAGGCAGGAGAATGGCATGAACCTGGGAGGCGGAGCTTGCAATGAGCTGAGATCGCGCCACTGCACTCGAGACTGGGTGACAGAGCAAGACTCCGTCTCAAAAACAAACAAACAAACAAACAAACAAACTCACTTGTACCCCCCAAAAATATATATATACCTACTAGATTCCCATAAACAAGTAAAAAACAAAACTCACCTGTTCACTCTGCAGTAGAGATTGTCAAAAATAAAAATAAAGGGCCAGGCACAGTGACTCATGCCGTAACCCCAGCACTTTGGGAGGGCCAGGCAGGAGGATCACTTGAGCCCGGGAGTTCAAGACCAGCCTGGGCAACAAGGCAAAACCCCATCTTTACAAAAATTAAAAAAAAAAAAAAAAGGACTGGGCATGGTGGGATCCAGTTTAAAGGCACTTTCTGGGGCCCTATCCATCACTTGTACATCTAAGATTTCATTTCCACTGCCATCAGAAACACGCAGAAAGCTGAGCATCCTCAGAGGAGAGTAAACCAAAGTTAAAAACTTCAAAAATGCCATACCAATCAGCATAATGACCAAATTTGCTGCTCCATATTTCTCTATCTCATGAATCCAGTGAGGGACGGACTCAAACGTGGATCGCCGGGTGAGGTCATAGGCGATGATGGCCGCGTGGGCACTGCGGTAGTAGCTTTGGGTGATGGTGCGAAAGCGCTCCTGGCCAGCTGTGTCCCACACCTGCATCTGGAGAAGGACAGGAAGGGGAGTCCAAATCAGGGGTTCCCACAGGTAATGGGAACTCCTTCACCTACATCGTCTTAAAAACACAGTTTTCTGGGTCTCACTTCTAGATATTCAGACCCAATAGATCTGGAGTAGGATACAGGAATCTATTCTTTCAATTTTTCACTAGATGACTTGGGTATCCTCCTTGGCTGGGGAACGACCATCTAAGACAAGCTTGTCCATCCTGCAACCCGCGGGACACATTTGGTCCAGGACAGCTTGGAATTGGCCCAACAAAAATTTTTAAACTTTCTTAAAATATTATGAGATCTTTTTGCAATTTTTTTTTTCTTTTTTTTTAGCTCATCAGGTATCGTTAGTGTTAGTGTAATTTATGTGTGGCCCAAGACAATTCTTCTTCCAACATGGCCCAGGGAAACCAGAAGCTTGGACAGCCCTGGTTGAAGGGATGCTGCTGTCCAAGAGGCGGACCTATTTTACCCTGGGGTCTTGTGTTCTTTGCCTTTTCACCTGATTCATCACGTGGTCCAGATTTGGGGGCTCATCTTTTGAGCCTGCCCATGGATCTGAACACCGGCAAAGGTGATAATATTGGCCGAACTGTTTTGATTTTAAAGGAACACTCAAGCTGTTCATGTCTGGAATGTCCTCACAACAATGCCTCCCAAATTAGCCACCCAAGCGGCAGCACCAATTCACACAGCCTCTCACAGTGTCTGAGGGTAACAATTTCTTCATATTCTCACACTATTTATATAAAATTTATTTTTCAGAGAAAGTTTGCAAACCATACACCAAAGCTAGAGATAATAGAAAAATGAGGCTGGGTGCAGTGGCTCATGCTTATGATCCCAGCACTTTGGGAGGCTGAGGTGGCGGATTGCTTAAGCTCAGGAGTTTGAGACCAGTCTGGCAATATGGTGAAACCCCATCTCTATGAAACATACAAAAATTAGCTGGGCATGGCGGCGCATGCCTGTAGTCCCAGCTACTTGGGAGACTGGGGCAGGAGGATCCCTTGAGCACAGGAGGTCGAGGCTGTAGTGAGCTGAGATCATGCGCCACTGCCCTCCATCTGGGCAACAGAGTGAGACCTTGTCTCAAAAAAAATTAAAAAAACTACTCATACACCTATCATCCAGATTTAATAAGTAATGAGATTTTGTTACTTGCTTCGTCTAGCCCTTTCTGTTGATTTCTTTGAGGTATTTTTAAAATTTTAAAATTTTTGTTTATTATTTTATCTTTTTGAGACAGAGTCTCGCTGACTCCCAGGCTGGAGTGCAATGGTGTGATGTTGGCTCACTGCAACCTCTGTCTCCTGGGTTCAAGTAGTTTTCATGCCTCAAGCCTCCCGAGCAGCTGGGATTACAGGCGTGTGCCACCACGCCCAGTTAATTTTTTGTATTTTTAGTAGAGACAGGTTTTCACCACGTTGGCCAGGCTGGTCTTGAACTCCTGACCTTGGGTAATCTTCCTGCCTTGGCCTCCAAAAGTGCTGGGATTACAGGCATGAGCCACCGTGCCTGGCAGTTTATGGCATTTTTGAGTACATAGAAAATTTGACCTCTTTTTTTTTTGAGACTCTGTCACCTAGGCTGGAGTGCAATGGTATGATCTCGGCTCACTGTAACCTCTGCCTCCCAGGTTTGAGAGACTCTTGTGCCTCAGCCTCCTGAGTAGCTGGGACTATAGGCGCCAGCCACCACGCCTGGCTAATTTTTGTATTTTTAGTAGAGACAGGGTTTCAACATGTTGGCCAGGCTGGTCTTGAACTCCTGACCTCAAGTGATCCATCTGCCTCGGCCTCCCAAAGTGCTAGGATTACAAGTGTGAGCCACCTTGCCTGGCCGCTAGAACATTTGACCTTTTAAGGCCAGGCATGGTGGCTCATGCCTGTAATCCCAGCACTTTGGGAGGGTGAAGTGGGAGGATTTGAGCCCTGGAGTTTGAGACTGGCCTGAGCAACACAGGAAAATCCCGTCTCTACAACAAATTTAAAAAATGAGTTGGGCATGGTGGGGTGCACCTGTGGTCCCAGCTATTCAGGAGGCTGAGGTGAGAGGATTGCTTGAGCCAGAGAGATGGAGGCTGGAGTGAGCTGTGATCATGCCACTGGACTTTAGCCTGGGTGACAGAACAAGATCCTGTCTCAGGCTGGGTGTGGTAGCTCACACCTGTAATCCCAGCACTTTGGGAGGTAGAGGTGGGTGGATCACTTGAGGTCAGGAGTTTGAGACCAGTCTGGCCAGCATAGTGAAACCCTATCTCTACTAAAAATACAAAACTTAGCCAGGCGTGGTGGTGTGCACCTGTAAATCCAGCTACTTGGAATGCTGAGGCATGAGAATTGCTTGAGCCCAGGAGGCAGAGATTACAGTGAGCTGAAATTGCGCTCCTGGACTCCAGCCTGGGTGATGGAGTGAGACTCTGCCTCAAAAAAAACAAAAACAAAAAGCCCTGTCTATCCCCTCCCCCCGCCAAAAAAAAAAAAAAAAGCAAATTTGACCTCTATATAGTTAGAGAAATGTATAAATTTGAGCTTCATGGTTAGATTCAGCAGTATTTTTTTTATCGGCTTCTGGATTCGTGTCTCATTTAAAGCCTGATTTTCCCATTCCATGATGAGAAAAATAAATACTCCCATGTTTTCTTCCACTATTTGTATGATTTCATGTTTTGTATTGAAATATTTCATTGCTCAGACATGTGCTTTGTTGTTGGGAATTCTGGCTAAAAAAGGTGGAACTGGCTGGGCGCAGTGGATCACACCTGTAATCCCAGCACTTTGGGAGGCCAAGGCGGGCAGATCACGAGGTCAGGAGATCCAGACCATCCTGGCTAACACAGTGAAACCCTGTCTCTACTAAAAATACAAAAAAAAAAAAAAAATTAGCCAGGCGTGGTGTTGGGCACCTGTACTCCCAGCTACTTGGGAGGCTGAGACAGGAGAATGGCGTGAACCTGGGAGGTAGAGCTTGCAGTGAGCCAAGATCGCACCACTGCACTCCAGCCTGGGCAATAGAGCAAGACTCTGTCTCAAAAAAAAAAAAAAAAAAAACAAAAAAGGTGAAATCAGTCCCGTCCCAGTGCCCTCTGACCTTCACTTTCTTGCCATCAATATCAAGGGAGCGCACGGTAAAGTCCACTCCAATCGTGTTCTGCTGTGTCTCCGTGTAGACTCCAGACTTGAAATGCTGCACCACACATGTCTTCCCCACATTGGAATCCCCAATGAGGATAATCTTGAACAAATAGTCAAAGTTCTCATCTGCTGCCCTGGCTGAGCCGGAGAAGTGCATGGTTCTTGCCACCTAGAACAGAGCTAGGTAGAAAGGATGGAATTCAGCACCAGGAACTGGGGATCTAGTACAAGACAAGACGGAGGGAGGTCATTACCTTCACAGCACTACATCCTTGTGAGAGGATGATGCTAATGATGCTAGTTAGGCATAGAGGAGTTGCCCCCATAAGCAAACATCTACCTTACATGTGTTGATCTTACTTTAGGGGTGCTCTTGGAATAAAGAGTTTCTACTGCCATTCTCTGGTGGGTCCAGTGGACGGTCAACACCATCAGATAAAAGCAGTGATATATCCTAGGCCTAGAGATGAGGTGCCACATGCTCCATCAGAGTGCCTGGAGAGCAGGAGGATGGCCGAGGAAATGCCTACAGCAGTGACTCACCTGCCATTGGACGTCCCACCAGTGTCAATTTTACCTGGGGAGAAAGACTCCCAACTGCTATAAGGCTGACCATCCAGGCCAGGCACGGTGGCTCATGCCTGTAATCCCAGCACTTTGGGAGGCTGAGGTGGATGGATCACCTGAGGTTGGGAGTTCGAGACAAGCCCGACCAACATGGAGAAACCCCGTCTTTACTAAAAATATTAAACCGCCTGGGTGTGGTGGCTCATGCCTGTAATTCTAGCTACTTGGGAGGCTGAGGCAGGAAAATCCCTTGAACCCAGGAGGCGGAGGTTGCAGTGAGCTGAGATCACGCCATTGCACTCCAGCCTGGGCAACAAGAGTGAAACTCCATCTCAAAAAAAAAACCAAAAACAAAAATGCTGACCATCCAGGCAGCCAGCAACAAGGACTGATAAGCGGTGATTGGTAAGTCAACTTGGAGAAGAGTGACATGGCCTTTTTGTCTTGTTTGGAGCCTAATTTTTTCAACCAGGAAATTAGGATTTTGAGAATATTCAAAATTAAAATCATGGCTATAATGTTATGGCATATTTTACCAAAGGCTGGTTATGGCATGTTTTACCAAAGGTTTTTTTTTTTCTTTTTCCTTTTTTTTGAGACAGAGTCTTGCTCTGTTGCCCAGGCTGGAGTGAAATGGCATAATCTCAGCCCACTGCGACCTCTGCCTTCCAGTTCAAATGATTCTCCTGCCTCAGCCTCCCGAGTAGCTGGGACTATAGACCTGCACCACCACACCCAGCTGATTTTTGTATTTTTAGTAGAGACAGGGTTTCACCATGTTGGTCAGGCTGGTCTCGAATGCCTGACCTCAAGTGATTTACCCACCTCAGCCTCCCAAAGTGCCGGGATTACAGGCCTGAGCCACCACGCACTGCCGGAAAATTAAGGTTTCTAATGACAGTGTTTCACAAACTAACTGATTATCAGAATTATCTGCGAGTATCATTGAAAAATATATATTTCCTTCTTTTTTTGTTTTTGAGACAGAGTTTCATTCTTCTTGCCCAGACTGGAGTGCAATGGTGTGATCTTGGCTCACTGCAACCTCGGCCTCCCTGATTCAAGCGATTCTCTTGCCTCAGCCTCCCAAGTAGCTGGGATTACAGGCGCCTGCCACCGGGCCCAGCTAATTTTTGTATTTTTAGTCGATACGGGGTTTCATGATGTTGAGCAGGCTGGTTATGAACTCCAGTCATCTGACCTCAGGCGATCTGCCCACCTCGGCCTCCCAAAGTGTTGAGATTACAGGCATGAGCCACAGTGTCTGGTTGGAAAATAAAGCTTTCTAATGACAGTGTTTCACAAACTAACTGATGGTCAGAATTATCTGGGAATATCATTGAAAAAAATATATTTTTGGAGCTCATCCCAGACTTGCTAAACTAATTTTACCTTGTTCTTTTAAAAATTATTTCTTAGTGTTCTTTTTTTTTTTTTGAGACAGAGTCTTGCTCTGTCACTCAGGTTGGAGTGCAGTGGTATGATCTCAAAACTGCACCAGGCCAGGTTTTGTGTTTTGTGTTTTTAACTTTAAAATACGTTTACTGTGCCAGGCGCAGTCGCTCATGCCTGTAATCCCAGCACTTTGGGAGGCTGAGGCAGAAGGATCACTTGATACCAGGAGGTTGAAAGTAGTCTGGTCAACATAATGAGACTCCCCACCGCCCCCCCAACCCCTAGCCCATCTTTATTAAAATCATAAGAAATAGGCCAGGTGCAGTGGCTCACACCTGTAATCCCAGCAATTTGGGAGGCTGAGGCAGGTGGATCACTTGAGGTCAGGAGTTCAAGATCAGCCTGGCCAACATGGTGAAACTGCATCTCTACTAAAAATACAAAAAATTAGCCGGGTGTGGTGGCATGCACCTGTAATCCCAGCTACAGGGGAGGCTAAGGCAGGAGAATGGCTTGAACCCAGAGGGCAGAGGTTGCAGTGAGCCAAGATCGCACCATTGCAGTCCAGCCTGGGCAACAAGAGCGAAACTCCATTTCAAAACACAAACAAACAAACAAACAAAAACACAAAACCAAAAACCTCTCTCTCTCCCCTCCCCTCCCCTCCTCTCTCTCATGCTGTCTCTTCCCCAGGTGATTCCGATGACGAGCCAGGCTTGGAAAACACCAATTGACCAGGTCACCTACCTGAAACTTTACTCCCACCATCAGCATCCCTGGCTTAAATGTCCACCTATGCTTCAATATCTCTGATCACAAGGAACTGACTACCTCCTGAAAAATTTCCATTTTACACTGGGCAGTTCTCACTTCTGTGGAATTGACACCTCCCTCCATGAGGTTTCCATCTGTCTAGCTCAGTGCTATCCTTACTCTGCCAAGACACATCACATTCCTGTTCCACATGACAGCCCATCAGATATTTGAAGCAGCAAGAATATCCCCCCGAGGAGAATATCTCCATCTTCTTTAACTGTTCGTCATGAGAGTGTGTTTGGACTCCTCATCCAATAGCTCTAAAAGTAACTGAAACCTGATCCCACTTAATGATCACATCTGATGGGCTGCAAATTGCCCCTGCCTTGTGACATCCTTCTTCACTTCTCTGTTTTACCCTGGTTTTCTCTAAAGTCATAGACAAGGACAGTCTGTCTCATCACACAAGGTAAAATGCACTCAAGTGTCCAATCTGCATGCAAAAACCCAGGGCTTTAAGGCGATGAAGAAGGATCCCATACCTCTCTTGGACTTCTCTGAAATCAATGTGGGTAGATGATCCAGCAGACAACAGACACAAGCAAACCACTTTTTTCCTGTCTGACTTTTCAACTAAAGACAGCCATTCCACTTCCGGTGTCTTGGTCTTATCACTGTAACTTGAGCTGAGACTTTACTTCCATGTCTCCCCTCACCCTCCGGAGTCCTCAGGGTTTCCACAAAAGCCCCCTTTCATTTAGCTTACAAGCCTTGCCGGGAGACACAGGCAGCGTCCACCCCGATGATGTCCTCCCGCCGGCATCCCGCAACCTTCGCCTTCCTGGTTCACCTGTCACTTACCTGTCCAGCTCTCTCACCTCTGCTGGTCAGCACGTAATGTTTTCTCTTTCTTCTGGTTTTCCTTTTCAGCCCTCAGTGCCCCCTTCTTCCTCCTGCCTCGCTGCTTGGTGGGAAGTGTAGTTCTGGCCCCAGGTGTCAGGTTTGGCGTCCTGAGAAAGTGAAAGGAAAGTACAATCCCTCCCACCTGCCCTGAGCCCTGGGCTGCCGCAGGGTACAAAGCACCAGGTGAAAGTGGCCAGCACAGGGCAGAGCGCAGAGCCGGCTTTCTCACCAGCCTTTGCCAGCCTAGCAGAGAGCCCTCTCGGGAAGGAATAGCCAGCGAATTCAACCAGCGCTGGCCCATACGATGCTGCCCCTGCTCCTTTCTTCTACTTACCTTCTCTTGTGTGTTCTTGCGTCCTTTGCTCTCAATTTGTCCTGGTGTCCCTTGTTCGGAAAAAATTTCAGAATGTATCTCATGTAGTAACAGTGACTGTTTTGCAAAATGTTTGGGTCAGTTGTACATGTGCATATTGTACTGGGTGATGTAAAAAAAATTTTTTTTTGAGACAAGGTCTCACTCTGTCACCCAGGCTGAAGTGCAGTGGCACCATCATGGCTCACTGCAGCCTCAACCTCCTGGGCTCAATAATCCTCCTGCCTCAGCCTCCCGAATATCTGGGACTACAGCTGGCCTGGAGGTTGTTAGCTGAGAGAACATCAACTAAAGGAGGATATAGATCTTAAGTAATTTATTTTATTATATATATGCATATTTTTTAGAGACAGGGTCTTGCTCTGTGGCCCAGGCTGGAGTGCAGAGGTGTGATCATGGTTCACTGCAGCCATAACATCCCAGGCTCAAGGAAGCCTCCCACTTCAGCCTCCCAAGTAGCTGGGACTACAGTCATACACCACCATGCCCGCTTATTATTTATTTTTTTTTAGAGATGGGGTCACCCTATGTTGCCCATGGTGGTTTGAAACTCCTGGTTTGACCAGGCGTGGTGGCTCATGCCTGTAATCACAGCACTTTGGGAGGCTGAGGTGGGCAGATCACCTGAGGTCAGGAGTTCGAGACCAGCCTGGCCAACATGGCAAAACCCCATCTCTACTAAATTAGCCGGATGTGGTGGTGTGCCTATAATCCCAGTTACTCTGGCAAGAGAATCGCTTGAGCCTGGGAGGTGGAGGTTGCAGTGAGCCAAGGTCGCGCTACTGCACTCCAGCCTGGGTGACAGAGTGAGACTCCGTCTCAAAAAAAAAAAAAAAAAAGAAAAAAAGAAAAGAAACTCCTGGGCTCAAGTGATCCTCCTGCCTTGGCTTCCCAAAGTGCTGGGATTACAAGGCATGAACCACCGTGCCTGGCCAGATTGTAAGTAATTTAAGTCTTTGTTTTGTGGATCTGAATATCTCTTTGTGAGGAGTCAGAGAAAGGAGATGATGCAAAGAGAAGGAAACAAACAAAAATTAAAACTAAAAGAACTTTGAAGGTATATGGGAAGAAAGAGCTGAAAAAAAAGTCTGCCTCACTCTCTCAAAAATTCTACCATAGAGCAACGGTTACCGTGCAGAAACCCTCCAGTTTATCAGTCCCAGACGCTGGCGGTAGAAGCATAAAGCTGAGGTGAATTTTCCTTACTATTTTTTTCCACTGAGTCTAGAACAGTTAACTGTCTCTCATTGTCTATCACAGGGACCAGATTTTCTCCACTACATAGGATGTGATATGTAGGCAGTTCAATGGCATTAAAGACACAATAAGTAAAATTGAAACAGAGACATCTTGTTTGATAAAATGTTGACATTGGTGTCCTGTTTCCAAACTGTGGGCTGAGACCTATAAATGAGTCATGAAATCAATCTTTGTGGGTTGCAACCAGCTTTTTCACAAGCAGGGATTAGGAAATAATTTCAGAATGTATCTTGTGTAGTAACAGTGACTAATGTTTTGCAAAATGTTTGGGTCAGTTGTACACGTGCATATTGTATTGGGTGATGTAAAAAAAATGTTTTTCTTTGAGACAGGGTCTCGCTCTGTCACCCAGGCTGAAGTGCAGTGGCACCATCATGGCTCACTGCAGCCTCAACCTCCTGGGCTCAAGCAATCTTCCTGCCTCAGCCTCCTGTGTTTCTGGGACTATAGGTGTGCTCCATCATGCCCAGCTATTTTTTTTTTTCATTTTTTTCAGAGCCAGGGCCTCACTTTGTTACCCAGACTGGTCTTGAACTCCTGGGATCAAGCAATCCTCCCACATCAGCCTCTCAAAGTGCTGGATAACAGGTGTAGGCCACCGTGCCCGGCCTGAAATGTCTTTTTTACTGTAGGCTGGGGTCCACAACATTTGGGAAGCACTGAAATATAGGGCAATTTATTCACTGTCCAAGAATATTACTTCTATGATGTCTTCAGATAACCTTGAAAATATTTATCTTACCCAAAATGCCAGTTACATATCCATTTTCAGGATACTCTCTTCTGGGTGAGATAAACTCAACACTGGCAAGCAGAGCAAGAGAACAAGAGACTCTGCCAAATATTGCTGCAGGGTGAGAACCACCAGCACAATGTGGAAATCCAGTGTAGGTCAAGATTCGACCCAAATGTGTGATCGGGAAATAAAACCTGTTAGGTGTCAATGTCATGAAGTTAAGTGTCCAAATGTTGTCTTTTTCCGGTAATGGTTACTTCTTTTTCTTTTTTTTTTTCCGAGATATGGTTTAGCTTTTGTTACCTAGGCTAGAGTGCAATGGTGCGATCTTGGCTCACTGCAACCTCCACCTCCCGGGTTCAAGCGATTCTCCTGCCTCAGCCTCCCAAGTAGTTGGGATTACAGGCACCCACCACCACACCCAGCTAATTTTTGTATTTTTAGTAAAGGTGGGGTTTCACTATGTTAGCCAGGCTGGTCTCGAACTCCTGACCTCAGGTGATCTGCCCGCCTCGGCCTCCCAAAGTGCTGGGATTATAGGGGTGAGCCACTGCACCCCGGGGGGTTACTGTTTTTTTTAAAAAAAAGTCACCTGACTCAGACCCACTGAGCACTTGGAGAACATCTACAGGTAGAAAACAAATTTTACAAATATTTAAATATCCTGATGGTTTTGGAAGTCAAGGAGAGAGAGATGCTGCCTCTGTCTACCACCCGACCCTCTCCACCAAGGTCACTATAAATACAAAGAGCATAGCTTGGGCTACAGGAAAGAAGGCATTCATATGTATAAATATATGTGTATATATACATATTTTTTTTTCTGTTTTAAGAGATTGGGTCTCCCTCTGTCATCCAGGCTGCAGTGCAGTGGCACAATCAGAGCTCACTGTAGCCTCCAAAGGCAGGGCTGAAGTGATCCTCCTGCCTCAACCTCCCTAGCAGCTGGGACTTCAGCTACACACCACCACGTGGCTAAGAAGGCATTCTAGCCCTGAGTGGTGGTGACACAGGTCATATACTTGATAGTATACACACACACATATATATGTATACACCCATATATAAATATAACACAAAAAATATGTATTTCACTCTATGTATATATATGAAGGGGTGGCCTGCCCCTCCACACCTGTGGGTGTTTCTCGTAAGGTGGAACGAGAGACTTGAGAAAAGAAATAAGACACAGAGACAAAGTATAAAGAAAAGCGGGGCCCAGGGGACCGGCGCTCAGCTTACAGAGGACCCACACCGGCACCGGTCTCTGAGTTCCCTTAGTATTTATTGATAATTATCTTTACCATCTTAAAGACAGGGGAGTGGCAGGACAATAGGATCATTTTTAGGGAGGAAATTAGCAGTAAGACATAAGAACAAAAACCTCTGTGATATGAATAAGTTCAAAGGAAAATCCTGTGCCTTGAGATAAACCTTTTAGCAACATTGTTTCAGTCTATCACATGGGGAGAAACCTTAGACAATACCTAGCTTTCCTAGGCAGAGGTCCCTGCGACCTTTGGCCGTGTACGACCTTTGGCCGTGTACGTGTCTCTGGGTAGTTGAGATTAAGAGAATGGTGATAACTTAACCAGCAAGCTACCTTCAGGCATTTGTTTAACAAAGACACATCCTGCACAGCCCAAAATCCATTAAACCTTGAGTCACCGCAACACAAGTCTCTTGCAAGGACAAGGTTGGGGGTAGGGTCACAGATTAACAGCATCTCAAATACAGAACAAAATGGAGTCTCTTATGTCTACTTCTTTCTATATAGACACAGTAACAGGCTGATCTCTCTTCCTTTTCCCCACATATATATTTACCATTTTAACCATTTTTAAGTGTACAATTCAATGGCATTAAATACATTGTTGCGCAACCAACATCACCATCCCTCTCCAGGACTTTTTTGTCATCCCAAACAGAAACTCCATAGCCATGAAACAACAATTTCTCATTTCCCCTTCCCTCCAGCCATGGGCAACCACTATGCTACTTTCCGACTCTATGAAGTTGACTATTCTGGCTACTTGTATAATTATATACGTGTAATTGTACTGTACTGGTCCTTTTATGTCTCACTTATTTCACTTAGCATAATGTTTTTTAAGATTCATCTATGTTGTAGCGTGTGTCAGAATTTGCTTCCTTTTTTAGGCTGAAAAATAAACGACTCACAATATATTTTTAAAAATAAAAGTAACATATTTGGCTCATTTATTTTTACTCACCCTGACATCATATTTCTCCTTGGATGCCTAGAGACAAAACTACCACTGTATAAGGGCAAATAAAAATGAAAAATAACACGCTTAATTCCTCTGCTGAAAATAGAGACTTCTCAGCCTTCTCTCTTTTCTTTCAAAATTTCTTTCTCTGTCCTTTTCAAATGTATACAAATCTTTATAACGGCAAAATGAGCCTCTTGCCAGTATCACAACTCAGAAATGTGTCCTCAAGGACTTGGGGGTCTTTTTGAAATGCAGTGGAGTTAGTGCCTGTTATCTCCCAGTTCCTACAGGAGGGTAGGATACTACACTTAGTGGGCATGGGCGCCTTGCTCAACTTATAAAACTACCTCCTGCTATAAAGATATGTGAAATTTGGCCTGGCGCGGTGGCTCACGCCTGTAATCCCAGCACTTTGGGAGGCTGAGGCGGGCAGATCAGGAGGTAAGCAGATCGAGACCATCCTGGCTAACACGGTGAAACCCCGTCTCTACTAAAAATACGAAAAAATTAGCCGGGCGAGGTGGCGGGCGCCTGTAGTCCCAGCTACTCGGGAGGCTGAGGCAGGAGAATGGTGTGAACCCGGGAGGCGGAGCTTGCAGTTGACCGAGAGTCGCGCCACTGCCTCAGCCTGGTGGACAGAGCGAACTCGCCTTGCAAAACAAAACGCAAAAGCGAAAAGATATGTGAAGTTTAGAAAGACGAAGCACAGACGCAACAAAAGAGGTTATGGTGAAGGGTGTGTTTTGGCCGTCTGGAGTAGAAGGCCAACAGAGTGGTGCTCCCCACATTGACGCACATTAAGTAGGAGGAACTATGTTTGGACAAAAGTGTGTCAATTGCTCGTTTTGTAAGGACTACGTGATGCGTTTATCTTATGAATGGTTGTTGAGGAGATTTTCTGGGTTAAGAGAAGTTTTTTTTCTTTAAATCGATAAGTGTCTGTAATTTTTTCCCGGTTAATTTAAAACGGCTGCGTGTTCGCTCTGTGGTGTGGTGGGGGTGGGCCTCTCACCTATCTTGCCAGCTGGTCCAACTCTTGTCCTCAAATGATGCTCCTACTTCCGCCCTCACCCAAAGTGTTAAGGAATTACTGTGTGAGTCACTTTGGCCGGGTAGTTGTATTTATGTAGTTTGTTGTATTTTGATTTGTTGGAGGCAGGTCTCCTTCTGTTTGGCCAGGCTGGAATGCAGTGGAGCGATCCCACAGCTGCCAGCCTCAAAACTTTGGCTCCAAGCGATCCCTTGCACCTCGGTCGCCCGCAGTGCAGGACCACAGCACATGCCCACTACCTGAGGTAATTTTAAATCCTTTGTAAGATGAGGTCTGGCTATTTGCTCAGGCTGGGTCTTGAACTAGCTGGGTTCAAGGATCCTCCCTTGCTCGACCTTCCTAAAGTGTTGATTGAGCAGCGCCGGGAGTCCACTGTGCCCGGCCTGCATTTAATTATGGACCACCTAAAATTTGGCGCTTCCAGTGGCACACCTTAGCAGCCATGTTACTTTTTATAAAAAAAAACGAATTACCGCTTTTGTTGTGGTGGGGGGGAAGTATGCCCCAGTTCTACCCCAATTAGTTTCTTCTCTCTACCTCTTGTGTTTCAGCTAACCATTCCTGGCCGGTCTGCGAGCACCGAGTTCCTGGGCTCTCAGCCTCCCCCTCCTGCCTTGTCCGGCGCGCGCGGCAGGGAGGCGCCGGCGCCGGAGGCACTACCAACTCCCAGCGTGCCCCGGGACGGGAGGGTCACGTGGGCGTCCGGAAACCCTGGCCGCGGCGCCAGGGGTGAGCTGGCGGCGGGGGCGGCCGGCAGCGGAGCCAAGCCGAATCCGCGAGCGGAGCCGGGGCTGGAGAGCGGCAACCACTGCGGATCTCGGGTGGGCGAGCCGTCATGCGTGGGGCCGAAGACCTGCTAGGGGCGGGGGCTGGGGCGGGTCCAATCCGAGGGGCTTCCCCGGTCGGGAGGGCGGTGGGGTGATGTAGGTGGCGGCCCCCCTTGGGCGGGGCGACTAGGCAGGGTCGGCCGCTCGCCCCCTCCATCTCCTCCCTGGGCCCGGGCCTGGCGTCCCGGCGGTCACGGGGAGGCTGTGATGGGGAGGATGGGGAGGAGAAGGACCCCCGGGGGACCCTGCGGCCCGGCCTGGATCCACGCGGCGGCGGCTTTTGTGCTCCTCGCCCGCCCTCCAGCCGTGGGTTGGGAGATTCTGACTTGATCAGAAAAGAGCTTGTCGTTCGGACCAGGAGAGAGGGGATGCTTTTCAGGTAGGTAGGGAAGGAAGCTCTTTGGGAAGGAGGTATAGAGGTCAAAGAAGAAGCGTGGTCTCAGTGGAGTGACTGGTTTTGTTTTCTGGTAGCATGAACTCGATCAAGGAATTTGGTCAAATTATTCGTCATTCCATCCTTACTCTTCTTCGCAGGATGTGTTCTGTTTATTCTGTTTTGACAGGAGATAATGGGAATGTGTCCCCGGAGTTTTTAGTGTTTTCTTGAAATGTAAGATGGTAGGCTATCTCGTGGTAACTGTTACTGAAAAGTTTATAGGGAGGAGTGGTTCCTGGGGTGAGCAAAATCATTCAGTTGTTACCTTTTTGTCCACCGCTTTATTTCTACCTTTACACAAATTTATACATACATACATATATATGTAATAGTTGTTGAAGGGAATGTCTTCAGTGCTTTGGTGCTTGATTTCTTTTCCGTTGGTTTGATGTTTCTTGGATACTAGGCTCTATACTAAAAACTCCATATAAATTATCTCGTTTAATCAATACATGAGGAAATTGAGCTTCAGGTCGGGCGTGGTGTCTCATGCCTGCAATCCCAGCACTTTGGGAGGCCGAGGCCTGTGGATCCTTTGAGGTCAGCAGTTCAAGACCAGCCTGGCCAACATGATGAAACTCCGTCTCTACTAAAACAAAACAAAACAAAACAAAAAACAAAAATTAGCCGGTCGTGGTGGCGCTCATCTGTAATCCCAGCTGCTCGGGAGGCTGAGGCAGGAGAATCACTTGAACCCGGGAGGCGGAGGTTGCAGTGAACCGAGATCATGCCGCTGCACTCCAGCCTGGGCGACAGAGCCAGACTCTGTCTTTTTATTCTTCTTCTTCTTCTTTTTTTTTTTTGAGACAGAGTTTTTGCTCTTGTTGCCCAGGCTGGAGTGCAGGGGCACCATCTCGGCTCACTGCAACCTCCGCCTCCCGGGTTCAAGTGATTCTCCTGCCTCAGCCTCCCGAGTAGCTGGGACTACAGGCGCCCGCCACCACGCCCGGCTGACTTTTCTATTTTTAGTAGAAACGGGGTTTCACCATGGTGGCCGTGATGGTCTGCCTGTCTCGGCCTCCCAAAACGCTGGAATTATAGGCGTGAGCTACCGCGCCTGGCCTCAGACTCTGTCTTAAAAAAAAAAAAAAGGAAAAGAAAAAAAGAAATTGAGATTCAGAGAAGCTGCTTAAGTGGAAGGTCTTAGATTCCATACCTGGCTTGTCTCTTGAATGACACCATTCTTCTATTAGTCTTTGATTTCCAGTCTCTGCCTAAGAAGGTGACCCGGAAACAATAACTTTATAAAAGTTAAGTCAACAGTGTCTTGCTGCTTTCTGGCTGTCAGGATCAACTGCCTTGTTCATTGTTTAAGGTTCTGATTTGTCTCTGTTCATCAGTGCTAATGTCATGTCACTACAGTGACCATTAACTAGATTATAAATCCTTTGTGTAGAAGAGGAAAAGATTTTTATCTTGAAAACTAGTTGTCTTTGAAACATGTCCAAAAACAGGGAGGAAGAATGTGGTTTTGGAAACACTGGAATAAGATGAGAGATATTTACAGATAAATGCCAGGTATTTTATGTCTGTGGTAATGAGACAATTTAAGAAGAGACAAAAATTACAGGAAGACTTGAGTTATGAATAAAAAGGATTATGCGGTACAAGTAAATGGCTTCATATAAGATAATGTGGGATAAAAAAGATACTTGTGGCTTGCTGCAGTGGCTCACGCCCATAATCCTAGGGGTTTGGGAGGCTGAGGCAGGAGGATCTATCTCTTAAGGCCAGGAATTCAAGACCAGACTGGGTAACATAGCAAGACCCTGTCTCTATAAAAACTAAGAAAATTAGCTAGGTGTGATGGTGCCCACCTATAGTCCCAGCAACTTTGGAGGCTGAGGCAGGAGGATCACTTAAGCCTAGGTAGGAGATTGAGGCTGCAGTGAACTATGATCACGCCACTGCACTCCAGCCTGGGTAACAGAGTGAGACCTGGTCTTTGGAAAAAAAAAAAAAGATACTTGTATGAGTGTGAGCATTGAGATGCTGAACTGCAACATATACAATACTGTAAAAAGGGTGAACTCAACTATCCTTTTAATAATTTCCCACATTCTTCTTTACACTTTGAATACACATAATCTTTTTACTCTGCAGACAAAAAAAATGAAGTCTGGGAGGTAATTGCCCACCTAATGCCTCTCTCCTTTGAGTGTGTAAGAGAACTACTCTTACCAGTAAGTTGTTTATTTTTCCCATCCTTTGTGTATACCTCTGAGTTTAGGTGTGCTAGTTCATTTATTTATTTATTTATTTATTAATTATTTGAGACGGAGTCTCGCTCTGTTGCCCAGATTGGAGAGCAGTAGGGGAATCTCGGTTCACTGCAACCTCCGCCTCCCGGGTTCAAGCAGTTCTCCTGTTTCAGGCTCCCGAGTAGCTGGGATTACAGGCACCCACCACCACACCTGGCTAATTTTTGTGTTTTTAGTAGAGACAGGGTTTCGCCATATTCGTCAGGGTTGTCTGGAACTCCTGGCCTCAAATGATCCACCTGCCTTGGCCTCCCAAAGTACTGGGATTATAGGCATGAGCCACTGCACCCAGCCTATTTTTATTTATTCATAGCTCTTTTTTTTTTTTTTTTTTTTTTTTAAATTTGAGACAGAGTCTTGCTCTGTTGCCCAGGCTGGAGTGCAGTGGCGCCATCTCAACTCACTGCAACCTCCGCCTCCTGGGTTCAAGCAATTCTCTGCCTCAGCCTCCCAAGTAGCTGGGATTACAGGCACCTGCCACCACGCCTGGCTAATTTTTATATTTTTAGTAGAGACGGGGTTTTACCATCTTGGCCGGGCTGGTCTGGAACTCCTGACCTCGTGATCCACCCGCCTCGGCCTCCCAAAGTGCTGAGATTACAGGCATGAGCCACCTGCCTGGCTTTATAGCTCTTTTTTAATGTATGAAGAGTGTGATAGCTCTAACTACTGTATTTTACCCAGCTTGGAGTATTTTCTATTTTAACCTTTCCCCTTAAATGATATAACATAGGATCTAGAATTAGGTCTGAGTTGGAATGTGCACTCCATCTCTTAAGAGAGATTGCTTTCTTTTTTAAAAAATTTTTTGAGGGCTGGGTGCAGTGGCTTACACCTGTAATCCTAGCACTTTGGGAGGCTGAGGCAGGTGGATCACGAGGTCAGGAGTTCAAGACCAGTCTTGCCAATATGGTGAAACCCTATCTCTACTAAAAATACAAAAATTAGCTGGACGTGGTGGTGCATGCCTGTAGTCCCAGCTACTTGGGAGGCTGAGGCAGAAGAATTGCTTGAACCTGGGAGGTGGAGGTTGCAGTGAGCCAAGATCATGCCACTGTGCTCCAGCCTGGGTGACAGAGCGAGACCCTGTCTCAAAAAAAAATTTTTTTTTGTGATGGAGTCTCGCTCTGTCGCCCCAGGCTGGAGTGCAGTGGTGCAGTCATGGCTCACTGCTGCCTCAGTCTCCCGAGCTCAAGTGATTCTCCCACCTCAGCCTCCCAAATAGATGGGGCCACAGGTGTCCACCACCACGACTGGCTAATTTTTATATTTTTTGTAGAGATGGGGTCTCCCTATGTTGCCAAGGTTGGTCTTAAACTCCTGAGCTTAAGTGATCCTCCCGCCTTGGCCTCCCAAAGTGCTGGGATTATAGGTGTGAGCCACTGGACCAGACCTATAGATTACTTTCTAATATCTGTTTTCTCATCTGTAAAATACTGAGAGAACTAAATGCAGTAATGCATGGTAGGTACCTAGCATAGTAACTGGTACTTTGTAAGCATTCAGTGTTCTGCCTTCAGCCAGCCAATTCATTGATTAAAAAAAAAATTTTTTTTTTATATGGGGTCTCACTTTGTTGCCCAGTCTGGAGTGCAATGGTGCAACCCTGGCTCACTTCACTTCCGTCTCCACCTACCGGATTCAAGCACTCCTCCCGCCTCCACCTCTTGAGTAGCTGGGACTACAGGTGTGCTATTTTTCCCATCCTTTTGAGGATGGAAAATTACCATGCTCTGCTAATTTTTGTGTTTTTTTATAGAGACAGGGTTTCACCATATTGCTCAGGCTGGTCCCGAGCTCCTGGGCTCAAGCCATCTGCCTGCCTTGGCCTCCCAAAGTGTTGAGATTACAAGTGTGAGCCATTGCGCCTGGCCCAAAAAATCTTTATTGATCATTCTCAGTGCTCTGCTGGGTCCTGTGGATGTAGCTGTGGGACTCAGGACAGAGAGAGCCACTGCTTTTATGGAGCTTACAGATGAACAGTAGACATGGAAACAATTAAACCAGATAATTGGGAGAAATGCTCTGAAGGAAAGAAATGACGAAAGAGATGAGACAGGTAGTAACCAGGGGAGACCATTTTAGATAGGGTGGTCAGGGAGGTCACTCTAGGGGGTGACATTTCATTGACTAGCCAAGAAAAGGAGCAAGCCGTTTGCCAAGAAGCAGGACAGAAGCACTTCTCTTGTAGAACAGCAAACACAAAGCCAGAAGCAAGAGGAGGCTTGATGGGTTCAGGGACAGGAGAGGGAGTAGGTGTGGGGAGACAGTGGTGGTGGTGAGGGTGGGAGGTAGGT